GAGACGGGGTTTCACCATGTTGACCAGGATGGTCTCGATCTCTTGACCTCGTGATCCACCCGCCTTGGCCTCCCAAAGTGCTGGGATTACAGGCTTGAGCCACCGCGCCCGGCCTAATTTTTGTTTTTGAGTGCTTACTGTGTGCCATACACTGGTAGGAGTAAATGACATATATTAGAATAGCTTTTCTAGAACTTGAATTTCTGTAATACTTCATCACTAGTGAATCATGACATTTGCACGGGTAGGAAATTAGTAAGTTATTTTTAAATCGTAATTCAGCCAGGTGTAGTGGCATACACCTGTAAGTCCCATCTACTTGGGAATCTGAGGCAGGAGGATTGCTTGAGCCCATGAGTTTTAATTCAGCCAGGGCAACATAGAGTTTAAATATATATACATATATTATATATATATATATATATAATTAATATATATTTATATATAATATATATACATATAATACATATAATATATATAATATATATACATATATTTTATATATATAATATGTATACTATATATGTAAATATATATATATGTATATACACACATCTATTTTTATGTTTATAAATTGAGACCATCCTTCAAATTTGAGTAAGTGAAGTTTGTTTTGTTTTGTTTTTTAAATAAGAGACAAGGTTTTGCCATGTTGCACAGGCTGGTCTTGAACTCCTGAGCTCAGGTGATCTGCATGCCTCAGCTTCCCAGAGTGCCGGGACTATAGGCATGAGCCACTATGCCTGGCCTGGATTTTTTTTTGAATGACAATTTTGTGTCTTGACTTCTTATACATAGCTCTATGAAAAGCTTCTTTCATATGGTAAAACTGTGACTGGAGGCTTCATTTTTAATTTTGAAAACTTTAAAAGTATATAGCATAACATAGTAATTAAGAAGACAGCCAGGCATGGTAGCTCATGTATGTCACTCCAGCAGTTTTGGAGGCTGAGGCAGGAAGATCACTTGAGGCCAAGACTGAGTGGCTGCAGTGAGCTGTGGTTGTACCATTGTCCTCTAGCCTGAGTGACAGAGCCAAAGGTTCTGTCTTTCTTGTGAGGAGGAGGAAAAGAAGAAGAAAAAAAGATAGCCTTTGGAGGTATACTTCCTGGGTTGGAATCCCATCTACCACTTTAGTAGGCTTGAAGTGCGTTACTTTACTTCCTTGTCTAAGTGTTCTCATTATAAAATAATAACAGTAGTGCTTACCTTAATATAGTTCTTAAGGATGGAATATATTGTAAAAAATACTTATTGTATATAGTATGTCATGTAGTGAGCACACAATAATTTGAGCTATTTTAATATTTCTTAAAATTTTATTTGCCTTTTTTTTTTTTTTTTTAAAAAAAAAAAAAAAGGTATACTGTGTTGCTCCAGCTGGAGTGCAGTGGTGTGATCATAGCTCACTGCAGCCTCAAACTTCTGGGCTCAAGCAGTCCTCAGGCCTCAGCCTCTTGAGTAGCTGGGACTACAGGCCTGTGCTTCCATGCTGGGCCAATTTAAACATCTATCTATTTTGTAGAGAAGGGAGTTTCCTGTGTTGCCCAGGCTAGTCTCAAACTCTTGGCTTAAATGATCCTCCTACATTGGCCTCTCAGAGTGCTGGGATTACAGACATGAGCCCACCACATCTGGCCTCAGCCATGGTTATTAAAGAACAAATGTTAAAAATGAAAGTAACTTTATTGAGAGGTAGAAAGTTCATTTAGAGACTCACTCCCAACCCTCTAGTCATTTAAAATTATACTCATTAGAAATTACGAATTTTGATTATTTTATCAGACGGAAGGTACTTTTTAAAAATGCATCTCTGCAAAAATAGCTTTTTAAGTCATATATCTGATTTTGAGAATAAAATAATTCTGACAATTTAGACACTTTGTGTTCTTAACATTCAACATAAGAATTACAACCTGGGAGTATATTTAGGATTGGGTTGAAGTTTGGCTGTTCAGCAGCTGTGTAATGTAAACTCTGATACTAAATTTCTCAGCAGCTTAAAAAAGATTTTAGAAATGTTATTTTTGGTTTTAATAGTACTGACTGATTTAGGGTTTTTAAAAATGATTTTCTTAAGTACTTGGTGAATCACTTCACCTGAAATCTCTCCTCAATGGAATGAGCATAATCTTTTAGTTAAACATAATCATTCAAAATTTTCTCTTTTCTCATCTCTTTGTTGTGGATTGTGGGTTGCTTCAAAATTGAAAAAGGAATTCATTTTTACTTTTCCCCTCATCTACAGAGTGCTGATGCTGTAAAAAAAGGCTAGAGGTTTCTTGGAATTTGTGGAGGATTTTATTCAGGTTCCTAGGAATCTTGTTGGTAGGTACTTTTACTAAATGTTAAATAAACATTGTTTAGTTACATACAGCAGCTATTGAAAACTAGTCTTGTAGTCTGATAACCTTATTCCACTTATGTGTACAGTTATTTAGATAGCAATACTTATATTTTTTGGTGATAACGTTTTGTGTGACTTGTAACTTGTTTTTGTCATGTGTTAAAAAGTAAAGATGTTTGTTTCTTCTGTATAGGGTGACCCACTAATAAGGCCCAGGGTTTTTATAACAGTTTGTCATTGCAGTTTTTTGTAAGCCTTCTCATCCCATGGGATCTTTCCTATTATTCTCACTCCCTTATGGTCTTTTCATCGTTAATTTATATTCATCAAAATTATGATAGTACTTTTTGAGAAGGTATTTATGATAATTGTTTAGTGCAGAAGAAAAGTAACAGTGAACTAACAAACAATAGGGTAACAAATTCTACACAGTAGGTCCTGAGTAACAAGTTGTTGCAAAGGCATAGAATAATAAGGTAAGAACTTACTGGCAGGAGGAGAGGGATGATGATGTGAGGGGAGGTTTCACTATTAGTTATTTGACACCATTACTGAAACTGTTGTACCCCTAGATTATAGTTAAGTGACGAGAATTTGAAGCTGGTTAAATGAGCACTGTAGCTTGGAGTGTGTTAACTTGTAGCTCTGTTACTCTGCCCTGCATCTGTGCTGTCTATCTATTAGGTGCTGTGTGAGGCAATCGGGAAGGCTTTGGTTATGTGTTAAATACGCAATGACTATACCAAAAATTGACTCTTGTAAATATGTAATATAAAAAGAAGCATCAAGATAATATAGTGAGTTTATTAGAAGGGAGATGAGTTTTTGTTCCCTGTTATCTCTCAGTTTTTTTTTTTTTTGATGCTAAGGAAATACTTTCAGCTTCTTGGGTTCCATTTATATAATGTGGCCTGTTCTGTCTTTAGGAAATGATTTAACTGCAGGCGTTCTATTTGTTAAATTGTGTAAAACAAACATTAATAGAAAAATTTTAAAAAACCTCTTTCATTCTAAAAAGATTGTTTGCTTGACCATTAATGAGTAGTGCATTCAGGAAAAGTAGTTTACAAGACAGCAATTTGTTTCTTGGAATTCAACTATTAGTATTTATGTAAAAAGCCTGCCTGCCTTTTTTTTTTTTTCTGACAGTCTTGCTTTGTCACCCAGGCTGGAATCAGTGGCCTGATCTCGGCTCACCGCAGCCTCTGCCTCCCGGGTTCAAGCAATTCTCCTGCTTCAACGTCCTAAGTAGCTGGGACTACAGGCATCCGCCACCATGCTTGGCTGATTTTTGTATTTTTAGTAGAGACGGGGTTTCACCATATTGGCCAGGCTGGTCTCAAAGTCCTGACTTTGTGATCCACCTGCCTCAGCCTCCCAAAATGTTGGGATTGTAGGCGTGAGCCACCATGCCTGGCTATAAAAAGTCTTTCAGTTCTGCTCAAACATTTGGATAGGTGTGGCGTTACTGCCAGTTGTGTAAGTTCTGCTTTATTAGCTCTTGGTATGCCTTTGTTCACTGTAGTCTGAAGTGCTAGAAAGATGACTTGAAATGTTAAAATTGAATATAAACTTGAAGAACTTTATATCATAAATATACATAGGTAGGGTCCACAGTGTTATCAAATATTTATCAGTATCAAATGGAATCACCTTTCACAAGAAAGCTGCTTTTCAAAATGATACCCTTTTTTAAAAAATTGTACTTAATTGACATCTGTCAGTACTAACATTATGGTAACTGCTCCATAGAGCACAATTGAACTTTACTAAGGTCTCCTCACTTGTTGCTGTTAATTTTTTTTTTTTTTTTTTTTTTTTNGAGATGGAGCTTTGCTCTTGTTGCCCAGGCTGGAGTGCAATGGTGTGATCTCAGCTTACTGCAACCTCCGCCTCCCGGGTTCAAGCGATTCCCCTGCCTCAGCCTCCCAAGTAGCTGGGACTACAAGCATGCGCCAGCACACTTGGGCTAATTTTGTATTTTTAATAGAGACCAGGTTTTTCCATGTTGATCAGGCTGGTCTTGAACTCCCAACCTCAGGTGATCCCCCTGCCTCGGCCTCCCAAAGTGCTGGGATTACAGGCGTGAGCCACCGTGCCCAGCCGGTTCCCTCACTTGTAAAAATGATTTGGCAGTGCGTTTGTGAAAGGGAACCGGGTTTCTTTTCAATCCAAGTCTATCAATTATAAAAGAGCCTTGGTCTTAGACAGTTGTGGTCTTAGAGAGTTGAGTAAAAATTTCTGGTGTTTCAAAAATAAGAAAATTGGGTATATTAGTAGTTCTCTGATTGTTGTCTTTATTCAGTGAAGTGGTGAGTACCTGTTGTCTCTTCCTGGATCTTGTCTCCATTGGCTCTGGTGATGTGGGTTGTGTGCTCTTGAGGAAGTATACATTAGCAGTAACTGTTACACATTGTTGGAATACTCAGAAGGAGTATAAGAATTTCTATTGGTTGTCATGTGTACAGATACAATATTTCCCTCCATAATGTTTTATGGATGAAGCAGTCTTTTGAAAAATAGTACATTGTTAGTCCAAATGAAAGAAAGAACTGAGGAATAAAATGGAATGAGGACACGTGGTGGGTAAGTTCCAGCGAGAATTTCCTTCCTCGTCCAGATTCCAAGAGTTCTAAGGTGACCATTCCCATCCCTCCCAAATGAAAGGGAAAAATACCTGAACATTGATTTGAAAATGATTCAAAACCTTTCACCTCCAGAAGCCTTCCTTAATCACTTCTCTCTGTCCCTTAAGCATTTGTATTCAGTGCTCAATTTATACTACAGGTCTGCTTCAATTTGTCAATATGATCTGGAGTTTAAACTATGGAAATGGTCATTTAAAATATTGACGGTCTCTGGTGGGACTAAATAAAACTTGCAGGTAGGTTCCTACCAAGGACCCGGAAGGGTGATGGATGAGCACTCACAACCGGTATAGTTCAAAAGAAGGAAGCGGCAAAGGTTCTGGGGGAGGAATATGGTATATCAACCTAATCTTTGTTCTTCGAAAGACATTTGCTTATTTTTAGCAGGGTCAAGGATGGAGTTGCAGCTTGAGCTTCACTGTCTTAACAATGAAGGTTGCTTTTATGTGCTCCTGCTAGGTCTGCTCAGAGAAGATACATGTCATGTGAATTCCCTGCCCTACTTTTTTTTTTTTTAACCTGTTCAATTGCTGCTGCTTTTAAATTTAGGATTATTAATGGGGAATGAGGCTTGAGAGTAGGAATACAAGAGAGAAAAACCCATTATAGTCATTTCATTGTATTGACCAGTCTACTGTTGTCCTTGTTCTTATTCATTCTTTAATGGAAACTGTTTGTTCAGGCATGCAGTAGGAAAATCTTCCATTTTAACTCTTTCAACCAAGATTTAAGTTTTTGCAAAAAAAGATTTACTTAAAAAATTATTTGAGGATGTGGACTTGATAACAACTATGCTATTGCTGTTCACTAAGGGATATATCTGTTCCATATGGTGAAGGTTACTTGAATAGTACTTGCTAACTTAAGGTACACAACTCAGTGTTGCTTTGTAGTTTATGTGAGTATATGTAATCTTTACATAGATAGTTCTTCAGGGAAAGGAGCCTTTTGACCCCTTTGTTTATGAATATACTCAATAACTGCTGTTTGACAGACTTTTAAGTGTAGAAAAGTTAATTTGAATTTTATGTCGTTTTACAATATTTTATACCTAGCAAGACAACATATCATGCATATGCGTTATGTAATTTTTTATATAGCTGTGAGGTACTTTAAAAATTTTGGTTAAAATGCAATACATGTAAATATTCTAAAGTTATCTTCAAGTCATAGAAATCTTTTGGACAGATAGAAACTTGAAAATAAAAGTAAGATTGATAGATTTGTTACTTACATGAATTACGAAAGTGATATAATTAATGCCAAATTAAAATAGTTTTCTCTTTGCCTTTATGTACATATTCAGGTTTTGAATGGGTTGGATATTTAAAAAATGTGAAAGTGATAAAGGGATATTTTAAAAGTCTAGATTCTGAAAATATCTAGCACTGTTGTCATTCCCAGTTAGTAACCTTAGGCATGCTGATAGAGAAGTGAGTTTCAGATCAGGGTAAAATTCCTTGGTAGTCTATAGGGTGGGTTAATTGATAGTAAAAAGATGGAGCTTCACTGGATGGTTATAATTACTAGCAAGTTACAGTAGTTGGGCCAGTACTGAAAGAATAGCAGAATTGGTTTTTAGCTTACCATTATATTTGTTTTCTCTTACTAAAGGAAAAGTAATTGGAAAAAATGGCAAAGTTATTCAAGAAATAGTGGACAAATCTGGTGTGGTTCGGGTGAGAATTGAAGGGGACAATGAAAATAAACTACCCAGAGAAGACGTAAGTGTTTAAAATGTAATTTCTTTGCCTCTTTAAAATGTTCTTTTTTTGGCCAACTTAATAGTGGTAAAAATTTTATCTGCTAGGGGGTTTTTCCTTTTTGTTTTTAAAATTCTGTTTTTGTAATACTGCTTTATACACTTAGAAAACAAGTCACTTTCTACTGTGTGGGTGTCGTTCTTCGTTGTTTCGGTACTACTTCAGTAAAAAAAAGCAAGTTCATGATAAAAAGATGTCTATTTGATAATCTTAACAGTTATCTTTCATACGTAGAGTGTAAAGCTATAGAATTTGATACTTTCAAAGGAATTTTTAATTTGAATAGGCTTTGGTATACGGGTGGTTTTTGGTTACATGGTTAAGGTTCTTCAGTGGCGATTTCTGAGATTTCGGTGCACCTGTCACTTGAGCAGTGGACACTGTACCCAATATGTAATCTTTTATCCCTCACTCCCCCAACCTTCCTCCCCACTGAGTCCCCAAAGTCCATTATAGCATTCTTTTGCCTTTGCATCCTCATAGCTTAGCTCCCCCTTACAAGTGAGAACATATGTTATTTGGTTTTCCATTCCTGATTTACTTTACTTAGAATAATGGACTCCATCCAAGTTTCTCAAAAAAAAATGTTATTTTGTTCCTTTTTATGGCTGAGTAATATTCCATGGTGTAGCTATATATAGCACGTTTTCTTTTTACCACTCATTGGTTTATGGGCACTTAGGTAGGTTCCATATCTTTGCTGTTGTGAACCATGCTGACAAAGGAATTGTAGATCACACTCTCCTTAACTATTTTATAGAATCTGAAAGTATTGACCTTTTTTTTTTTTTTTCTGAGATGGAATCTCGCACTGTTGCCAGGTTGGAGTGCAGTGGCACAATCTCGGCGCAGTGCAGCCTCTGCCTCCCAGGTTCAAGCAGTTCTCCTGCCTTAGCCTCTTGAATAGCTGGGACTACAGGCGGGCACTGCCATACCCAGCTAATTTTTGTATTATTTTTAGTAGAGACGGGGTTTCACCATGTTGGGCAGGTTGGTCTCAATCTCTTGACCTCTTGATCTACCTGCCTCACCCTCCCAAAGTGCTGGGATTATGGGCGTGAGCCACTGGGCCTGGCCGACCTTTTCTTAATTGAAATCCTCTTATGCTTTTACGTTGCTATTAATTCTGATTCTGGCTTTCTAAAAATTTTCATCTTTTTTCCCACATGTTGATATTTTGTCCCTAATTTTGTTCTTTACTCCTTGTACATCATTTTAAGGATCTCACATTTATGGCTTCAGTGGTCCGCTCTATATGCTTAAGCTTTGTGTGCCTGAATATAAGACAAGGGTTTTTTTATAAAATAATCAGAAAATAGTCACAACTGCTTTAGCTTTGCACAGCAGGGCATTGTATAGGGAGTTTGTTAACCTGTTGGATACAGGATCTGTCTTTTAAAAAGAGAAAACTATATATTTAGCCCAACCAAGTATTGGTATTATAAAGATGTTAAAGATAGCCACTTCCTTTATTCCTTTTAATTAGAATGTGGAGGTGAGTATACTAAGAATAAATGAGGAACAATAAATGTTTAGGTATCATCACACAAATGAATACTTGTGGCTTGGAATGCTGTTTTCAGTAATTTTATTCTACACTGCTTTAAAAAGTACAAATCTCACAGAACTTACTCTTCATAAGTACTTCTGCCCCATTTTGCATTATTTTAAGATAGCTTAAGATAGAGATTAAGGCCGGGCGTGGTGGCTCACGCCTGTAATCCCAGCACTTTGGGAGGCTAAGGTGGGTGGATCACCTGGGGTCAGGAGTTTGAGACCAGCCTGTCCAACATGGAAAAACCCCATCTCTGCTAAAAATACAGAATTAGCTGGGCGTGGTGGCACATGCCTGTAATCCCAGCTACTCCGGAGGCCGAAGCAGGAGAATTGCTTGAACCCTGAAAGGCGGAGGTTGTGGTGAGCTGAGATTGCACCATTGCACTCCATCCTGGGAAACAAGAATGAAACTCCGTCTCAAAATATATAAGGATTAAAACTGATGGTCTCATGCCATTATTATTGGCACCTTTTTTTGTTATGCTTAGTAAAACTAATGGTAAGATGAGTGCGGAACAATTTGGCATACAACCACTGCCTAAACGTTTGTGTTAAAATCATGGTAGTGATTGGCCAGAACCATTAACTTGCTCAACTGTGAATTTCTAAGTGTGAGATTAATGTCTTCTCTTAGCTTGATTTATTCCCAGTTGCTTTTCAGTATTTATTTTGTTGTAACAAGCATATTCTTCTAGGTTTTCCTTCATAAGTAAGAATTTACTGTACTTTCTTGTTTGTAGTTTTGGCCATTGTTACTGTCATTTCTGTGAGAGGGCCAAGAGACGTAAATGCTTGCAGAGGCCAACCAGTTACACAATTAGGCAAGTTGGACTGTGTAAGATAGGGATGGAGAGGACATTGCCTTTCTTCATAGGGAATGCGTGCCTTATTTTTTGCTACAGTGATATGTTTTGAGAAGCAGGAAACATATAATATACAAATTTTCAGTTTTCAAAACACCGCATGCTAAAATAAATCCGAAGGTTAGTATTGGCTTATTGGTGCCACCATTTCACAATTTAAGTTGGAGACTCAGTCTATAACTTCTTTACTCCGAAGGCTTTGGTGATCTGTCGCTAGCATGAAGTGATGTTTTCTACATGTGTACTATAGTAATTACTGTCTTTATAATTGGGTTTTTAATGATAGGCTTTCAGTCTTACTTACGTTTTGTTTTCTGGTATATGTCTCCAAACCAGTTTATGAACTCCTTGAAATCAGGAAGTCAAATCTGAACTCCCATATTTTTCATTCTCCCCTATGACTATGAATTGAGTAGAACGGCAGTGGGGGGGGTTGAATTTTTAATTATAAAAGTTTAAGTAAAGGTTAGAATAACAGATAAGTATAATATCAAAAATAGATGTGTATCTGTGCTTTCTCCATGTCTCTCCTTTCCTCGTCATGTCTCCCAGGCTTTAACCTGTTTAAGCCGCTATTGCATGCTTTTGTTTTGCTGTTAAAAACAACACTGACTGGGCACCATGGCTCATGCCCCAGCACTTTGGGAGGCCGAGGCAGGTAGATTACAAGATCAAAAGTTTAGGACCAGCCTGGCTGTCTCTACTAAAAATACAAAAATATTAGCCAGGCATGGTGGCAGGTGCCTGTAATCCCAGCTACTCAGGAGGCTGAGGTAGAGAATTGCTTGAACCCAGGAGGTGGAGGTTGCAGGGAGCTGAGATCACGCCACTGCACTCCAGCCTGGGAAACGAGAGCGAAACTGTCTCTAAATAAATAAATAAATACATACATAAATACTATAAAAACCGTGCTGTAGTGAACATCCCCTGTGACTCTTTGCCAACTATAAATGGAGAGGAAATTCTCCATGTTGCCCAGTCTGGTCTTGAACCTGGGCTCAAGTGATCCATGTGATAGATCAGAGGTTTTATAGTATTTAAATTTTTAGAGCTTCATAATTATTTTCTCACACATTTCTATCACCAGTGTAGGAAATAGGTCTGTTTTACACATATTTTCAGTATTAGGTTTTATCAAACTTTAGTTAATGCCGTTACAGAAAGTGTACCACGTTATCTTTCTATATGCTTAAAAGATACTTATTTTTCTGTGAACTTTTTGTCCTTTATATATTTTTTGTCTTCAGTATTAGTGGGTTATAAGACTATTTTGCAGTTTTGTATGTGTAGCAAATATTCCTTGTTAATTTTGACTTGATTTCTTTTTTCCTGAGCAGGTATTTAAACATTTTTATATTGTTGGATTTTTTTTTTTTAGGCTTTTGCTTTATGACGGATTTTCTGTCATGCTTGGCAGGGTCTTTCCTGCTCCTGGATCATTCAGAAATACATTATATTCCTGTTTTTGTTGTTGTTGGTTTTTAGTGCATAAACTTTTTGCCCCGGTTGATACGTATTTGGTGCAAGGTGTCAGGAATAGGAATTCAGATTTTTCTTCGTGCTGATTATCTCAGTGTTAATGTTAAATAAAAATAATCAGTTTTTAGCATTTTTTTTAAACAACCTTTTAAGTTTCACTTAAATAACTTAGAAAAAATGAACTCATATTCATTAGTAATCCTTTACCCTTTAGAGTTTACCATTCCTTTTTTATGGCGTAAAGGTGATAACATTTCCCATTGAAGGTCAAGACACTGTACTTTTTATTCCATTCAGGTCATCTGTCTGGAATGACTTTCTCTTTATGTATTTGGCAAGATTTTATTTATTTTTAACATTTTCTTTACACAACATTATTCTTTCTTACTCCATTAACTTTCCACACCTGGACTTGTGTAATTCACATTCTCCATAAAATTCCTGTTTTTTGGTCATATCATTAATGATGTACAATGAATTTTTTATAAGAATGTTTAGTATATTTTTTTTCCTGAGATTGACAGAAACTTTATTCTTACACCTTAGCGTAAGATCCTGGCAGTTAACAAATAGATACTATTTGGAATTAGGTAACTAGATAAAATTGGCTGGCTCAGTTGCTAATTTTATGCCTTCAGCAAGTTATTTTGTTAACTGTAAAGCTAGGATACTCTTTCTTAGTTAATTTTTTAATGAACATTAAATAAAATATATGGAATGCATAATACAGTCCTGAAAACAGGGTATGTGCTAAAGATTTTTTTAGGTCCTTGCCTCCCCACCCCTTTTTTAATTTACTTTGAATGCCCTTTTATCTGCTTGAGAACCCCTAAGGACACCGTTAGTTTCCCTCCTTTCATGCCTTCATAGTTGAAGTAACTTCTTCACAGTCACTGTGAACCTTCATAATAGCTGTGCTGTATCCTAGCACTTGCCCTGTTGCCTAAGTTTTAAATCAACCATATCTATTTAAAAATCATTGTAATTTTTAAAAAATTACTTTGAAAATAATTGAGTCACATATAGAACTAAAATTTCTTAACCCATGCTTAGTTTCATATTTAGAACCAAAAATCCCTAAGCCATTCTGTGTAAGTATCTGTTAGAAACTTCTGTAAAACGAAGAAAATTAGAGACATGGAAACTGAATTGGGGAAGATTATTTAAGCTTTACTCTCATTCTTCTCAGCCATTAAGAAGCTGGAAGTATGTTTTTTTAAAGAGGAAAATTTCAGTGTGCCATCTTATTTTTCTCTTCTGCCACTTTTTAAAAACCTTCTATTCAGACAGCAAAGTAAACCAAGTCTGGCCTAATACTTTGATTTAGTTTAATACTTCTACGTATCTTAATAATTCCTTTAATTTTACATTGTGTAAATATTTATGCTCTGGAGTTGATATTTCTTTTAGTGGTCAGGAAGTACCTCTTGTGGTACATTCAAGATTTTGTTACCTGAGCATGTACTGTAGGGATAACTAGGCAAATGAGCTTTATTATGTTTTAAAGCTATACGTACTAAGGTGATATATCTAGTCTGTAAGTTTATTGCCAGTTTGAAGGAACATTTTGTTTGTTTGATTTTGGAGACAGCCTTGCTCTGTTGTCCAGGCTGGAGGGCAGTGGCACAATCTTGGCTCACTGCAACCTCTGCCTCCCACACTAAAGCTCTCTTCCCGCCTCCGCCACCCAAGTAACTGGGACTACAGGCATGTGCTACCATGTCAGCTAAGTTTTGTATATTTTGTGGAGACAGGGTTTCTCCATGTTGCCCAGTCTGGTTTTGAACTCAAGTGATCCACCTGCCTCGGCCTCCCAAAATGCTAGGATTGTAGGTGTGAGTCACTGTGACCTGCCAGAAAATCACCTTAACTTTAAACGTTGACTTACATACTTGGAAAATTAAATTGATTATAAATCAGAAAACTTGGTATAAACTGATTTTTAAAAATGATTTTTAAAGTCTTTAATGCACAGTACACAATTTATAGTAGTAAATTGTGGTGCAAATATGACAAGTTACTGAAAATCTGAGTATTTCAACTTACATGGATTTTAGCATTTTTTTCCCCTTTAAATCTTGAAGTTTAGTACATGTAAATTGCTGTGTGTTTCAGAAAAGTTTTCCTAATTATATATTAGGGCTGGGTATGGTGGCTCATGCCTGTAATCTCTACACTTTGGGAAGCCAATAATCACAGCCCTTTGGTAATGCAAGGCAGGAGGATCGCTTGAGGCCAGGAGTTGGGCAACAGACCAAGACCCTGTCTCTATAAAAACTTTTTAAAAATCTCTGGTTTTGATGATATGCATCTGTAGTCCCAGCAACTCTGGAGGCTGAGACCGGAGAATCACCTGAGCCCAGGAGTTTGATGCTGCAGTGAGCCCTGGTGGGCAACGGAGCAAAATGTCATCTCAAGAAAAAGACACACGCAGGCACACGTGTGCCTGTCAGTTTCACATCACTTTCAGGCTAGAACTTTGTTAAAATATTAAATACTAAACACTCTTTTTTTTTTTTTTTTTTTTAAAACAGGGTATGGTTCCATTTGTATTTGTTGGCACTAAAGAAAGCATTGGAAATGTGCAAGTTCTTTTAGAGTATCATATTGCTTATCTAAAGGTTTGTATATGGTTCATACTATATTCTGATATCATTGTTTGTGCATTTACCACATAAACGTTGTACACTTACTGCAAATTTAAAATGTCCTCACATTAAACATTTTATATTTGAAGTAAATTTCAAATCTTTAAATATTTTTGTTAATTCAGCTTCAGATTTGCCATTTTTCTACATGAGAATTTAAAAAGTCCTTTGTCATCATAAAATAACTGCCTTTGTGGGCATAGTTTCTCTTCTCTCTGAGCTTTTATATTTCTTTCCTTATTGTTTAAGAAATGGTTACTTTGTTTTCATGTGATTTGACTCTCCATCACTTATGTATCTGCATGTTCATACTGAAGCTGTTTTGTTTTTACTTTCGTACTTTAGGTACAAATAGGGTACAGAACCAGGAGTGACGTGGGGCTTCCTTGGTAACTTTGGCATTATGCAGATCATCTCCACTATGTCCACAGATACTGTTCAAACCATTGTTACCAAAATAGTCTAGAGTTGATACACAAAGAGCAAGGGTTTTAGAAAAACATGACCTATAGATTATTAAACATTCTATTTTCTCCTCTTTGCCTTTTATTCCTGCCTGCTGTGTTTCCCTTTTTGATGTATATCCTCACCTGCTCTCACTCTCTACTATGTTTTCTCTCGTATCATTGCTGCTAATATTTTGAAACCTCTCTGATAATGTCATTCCTTTTCTTTTGCAATTCATCTATATATGAAAAATTGCAATTAAAACTGGCATTTTAAAGCCAGCGCTGCATCTTTCAGTACTCATTTTAACCAAGAGCTTTCTCTACACATTGAACCTTTGCATCCTGTAATTACCAGAATTTCTGAATGACCAAGTCTAGCATTCTTCTACTATGTCACAACTGAGGTGTCACTCCTTTGATAGGAAAGTAGCTTGTTAATAGCTACTGTTATTACCTGTATCTCATTGGTACAGGTTGTTACCTGTATCTCATTGAGCAGTCCTAACTCTTTAAGGGCAAAATGTGGTAATAATGTATAATTATTAGCTATTTAATAAATAACTTATTCTAAAGCTGTTAATCATTCCCTTGCTTGTGGAGAGCCTATGTCATCTTTTACATTTCATGCCTGTAGCAGCATGTTTGGCACCCTCTAGGCCGTACAGTAAATGTTGAACTGAAACAGCAAATGATCTCATAAGTTCTGTTGACAGGAACACAATGCTTTTTACCATGTAATTGCCGAAGGTTGTAGCTTTGGTAGGGAGTACAGCTCTAGCTCTAGGCTTTAAGAAGACAAAAGGTCACATACAACTCTTTTTTGTTTTGATTGTAGGAAGTAGAACAGCTAAGAATGGAACGCCTACAGATTGATGAACAGCTACGACAGATTGGTATGGGTTTCAGACCTTCTTCCACCAGAGGGCCTGAAAAAGAGAAAGGATATGCCACTGATGAAAGTACCGTCTCTTCTGTGCAAGGTTCTAGATCTTATAGTGGAAGAGGCAGAGGTCGTCGGGGCCCTAATTACACCTCCGGTTATGGTAAAAAAACCTTTTTTTGTTTTTTTTGGTAATAGTAGTAGTAGTGATAGCACTGTAGTTATAGTTCAGGTGCTCTAACACATTTTCTTATAATTCATTACTCTATCTTGGCTTTGAGGGTAGAAGGTAGTTCTGAAGGTTTAGTACATTTCTTAATAAAGTGATGGTATACATTAAAATGACAGTAAAATTGAAAATTTCCAAGCAGTTACGTAATGAAGCAAAGTATGTTTTTAAGTTGGTAGTTCAAAATTATGTTTACTATAAATATTTAGAAAGAATACATATGTAACTTGTTTTGCAGATATTTTGCTAGTACAGTTTTATACCTTTCCCAGTAAATACCTAGTAATGGTGGTGATACTTTTAGGAATCATCTTTGTCTACCCTCTTAAAGTAAAAAATGAAAAGTATGTGAATCACTGCCAAGATTGTGTATAGCAAGTCTTTGCTAGCTTTTAAAAAGTACTTTATTGACTCATTTGGCATGTTTGAATATATTAACATCTCATAAACATTTCACTAAAATGAAGGCTCTAAAAGCCAGAATCTAATTTAATACTTTATAAATGAACATTTTCTAAAATATATTTCACTGTGAGGATTGGGTCTAACCCAGGTAGGAAGAGGACAGTGGAGTGGTGATAATCTACAATTCTCTAATCCTCAATTCTCCCTTATTCTTCTTCAGCTTTGAAGTTGTTCCGTTTTTCTCCATTTGGACTTGGATCTTAGCAGTGCCTGATTTGTTTTTTGCCTTCGCCTGTTTTCTTTTCTCTTTTCCGTTCCTTCTCTTCACTCCTGTACTTAACCTCTTTTGAGGAAGTACTTTATAAATCCTTTTTAAAAATGTAAGGCATTTGAGGAAAATAGAGATAAATGCAAATTTCATGATTAATTGAAGGATAATCTAATGCTGTAAAAGTTCCAGTGAGCTTGAACTATCTTCCATTTGTTGTAGAGTTGTAAGTTTGTGTCCCTCCCCGTTAATATCATATCTTTATATTCTGATTTTCTTACATACATATTTTTATTTAACGCTGTATTGAAACCTAAAAAGCAAAATTCTCATAACGTTCAGCATATAAGGGTCTGCAAATTGCAAACTATTACTATATTCCTGAAAATACATTTAATGCAAAAGACAGTTAACCAGTAATCACATAGAAATTATATTCTCATTGATTTTTGAAGCATACCTATTATTAGCATAATTAAATTGGGCTTATTGGATGATGAGTATGATGAATTCATTGAAGAATTTTATTAGCCTCTGGGAATTCTGCTTATTGATGAGAGCTTTACTCTGGCAAAATGCTTTTGTTGAGATTAGATAATGAATTTATATGAGAGGTAGAAAAACAACATCTGGGTTTAAGGAAGCTGTGCAAATTGTTCAGTAGATGGCAGTCTTAGCTCTGAGTCTTTGCAGAATTAATACCATTTTATTTCTTGAAATAGTTATTTAACGTGAGTGGGCTTGAAAAAACAAGAAAACATTTGAATGTGGTTGTAGATGTTCATGTATACTTTATATCAGAGGGACTTTTAGGTGATTTTATATATATATGAGATGTATATAGATAGATAGATATATAGATAGGTATATACCGAGTACTATAATTCATCAGTTTAATAGAAACTGTAAGAAACATTTCCCAGTGTAACATCTCTGAAGTTGTTATGTGTGTTAAATTGGACATCTTACAACTTTAATTAGCAGTATTTTTTCTTTTTTAATGGCACGTAAAATAATACCTTATAATTGATGTCATCTTGGATTTGATAAAACGTGATTATTTTTAGCTATTAAGCTTAGCACAAAAAACCATTGAAATTGATGTATACCATCTCATACCATCTCCTGATAAGGTGAATTTAGAAGTTTAAGGTGAAAATATGATTTCAAAATTGGTGAAAAACATGATGTCATGGAGACATTTAAAATTAAGTTAGTGTCGCTACTTTTAAACTTGTTTAAAAAGACTTTGAATCACCAACTTGTATTTTACAAAATTGAGGGGTTAGATGAATGGTTTCGCTGTTTTCCTTATTCACTTTAACTGCAGTAATAAATTACCACAGACTTGTAGGCTTGAACCACAGAAATTTATTGCCTTACAGTTCTGTTGGTCAGAAGGCTGAGATGGGTTTCACTAGGCTAAAGTCTTGTCAGCTGGGGTACCTTTATTTCTGGAAGGTCTAGGCAGAGATTCCCTTTTCTGAAGTTGAGAAAGTTTCTCTACTTTGAAAGACCCAATGAGATTAGTTTGAACCCACCTGGATAATCCAGGATAATCTCTCTCTCTCTCATGGTCTTTAACCTTAGTCACATTTGCAGAGTCCTTTTTGCTATCCCAGAAACATTTAATATGAGTTATTAAGAGTTTTTAATAATCTTGAGCACTAGTCAGTTCATTAAAATTTTGGGGGGTTTGGCCTCAATATCTGTGTTAACTGTCGAAATCTATTATTTAGACATTTCTTCTGAGTATCTTGAATTCTATATGTAGGTTAAATTTAAGGAACACTTTCCTTGCTGTGACACTGGGTTAGATAAATATTACACTAGATTTCTAAGGATATTTGAATAGGAACTTTTGAGAGAATCTTCAAAATTAGGTATTCTTGATTTGCCCTGAATTTTGGTAATGTTTTCAGGTAGGGTATGTTTGTAAATAAATTCAGAAGTTCTTAAACATTCCAAAGGTTTTTTTCACTATTCAAGGAAAGATAAATTGCCTTCATTGCAACTTCTGTATTAATAAAATGCTTTTTGTCATTTGGAGAAATAAATGTTAGGGAAGATTAATTCCGTTTCCTGAGGTTCTGTTTCCCAACAAAGAATTGAAAGTGAGTGAATAATAGAAACTTGATGTATTCAAGTTTACATTTTATTCCCTGCACCCTTAATACTTACAACTTTTTATGTCTGAAGAGCTCTTGCTTGCATTTTTTCTCAAATGATTGTGGAGCTTAAATATAGGGAACTTCAAGGTGTTTCATGAAATCACTCTTGTCTGAGAGTTTAGCAAATGAACTTCAAAATAATGCAGCAGATTTTTTGCTTGGAAAATTGTTACATACTTTGCTAGGCATTTGAGGACTTATAAGATGGAGTACAACCCTGTATCATAGATGAATTCTGAAGTAATTCCAAAGGGGAAGAAAATAACACAGCACAGCCTATGATAGATAAGGGGTGATTTTAGGATAATAAAAATGGGGTGAGATCTGTTTTTAGTTATGGTGGTCTGAAGTTAGAAATTGAACTAGGCTATGAAGGAGACGTATTTGGTCATATATAAGGGAAAGAGGAAGCGGCATCCCAGAACCAGTAAGTGGAAATGAGTATGATAGTGATTGAGTCATATGCATTTGACACTTTAATTACAACAATGATTAAATAATGATACTGTAGGTTTCTGATGAAATCTTTCTAGTGTTTAAATAAATTTTTGAAAGGTCACCATTACAATAGTTGTGGTGTTAGAAATGGTGCCACTATGCCCAGCTAATTTGTATTTTTAGTAGAGACAGGGTTTCACCGTGTTGGCCAGTCTGGTCTCGAACGCCTGACCTCGTGATCTGCCTGCCTTGGCCTCACAAAGTGCTGGGATTACCGGCGTGAGCCATTAAATGCAAAAAGTAAAAGTAATTACTTTTAATGACCAAAACCGCAATTTAAGGCACTTGCCAGTAAAATATGCTATTATTTTAACCTACTGGGAAAGACACTTCGAACTTATTATATAGATGCCCTCAATTATAAGAAATGTATCTTATAATTGTTTCATACTTTAAAATGTTTCATACTTTTATTTCATACATTTTAGAGATGTTAATATATGAAAAAAAGTCTACCCTAGAATCAGTGAAATAATGGTGAGATACACTATACAGTTAAACTATTCATTTTTCTAAATATTACTCTCAAATATTGGATAGAAGTTATTTTTATTGTACTAATAATTTAGGTTACTAAAACTCAAATGAGCAGAATCATTTGACTAAAGTACATTTTAATATTGATATATGATGTTCTTGTATGTTTTCTTTCTTTCCTTTTTCTCCTTT